CAGAACCCATTTGAGATCCTGGAACAGGTCCGCCAGGACCCATTTGCCCTGGTCCAGTCTGATTCATATGAGGTCCACCAGGAGGACCACCACCTTGCACCATATGTGATGGACCCATTTGTCCAGGACCTCCAGGACCCATTTGTCCTGGGCCTCCTGGTCCCATTTGTCCAGGTCCTCCAGGACCCATTTGACCGGGTCCACCGGGTCCCATTTGTCCACCAGGACCCATCTGTCCGGGTCCGTTAGAACCCATCTGATTGGGACTTTGCATCATATGAGATCCACTTTGTGGTCCATTTGGACCCATTTGTCCAGGTACCATTGTTCCTCCAGGACCTTGAGAGGTAGGTACAACTGGGCCGCTTTGATTCTGTAAGAAAAAAAAAATCTCATATAAATCAATATTTATAATCAAGAATATTTTCGGAAATCAAATTTAAATTTTTAGGTAATTGATTCACAATTTTTTTTATAATTTATATTTTAATATTTTATTTTTATATTTTAATCTAGAGACACGATATAAATATTAGGTATGGGAAAAAGTTCGTGGCGTTTTTTTAATGCCATCTAACAGGAAAAACGCCACAAACTTTTTCCCACATTTAATACAAGACATATTGGAGATTTGAAAATATGTGATGACACAAAATATAGATATGGGCAAAATATATTTTTAATAAAATTGTGCAGGGAAAAAATTGTGGGAAATTTTTAATGAAATAAAAAAAAATAAAAGAGCTAGATAAAGACTGCGTGTAATTATAATATTTCTAATGCTTGCAAAAGTATACAGAAGTATATAAAGCTTACACATAAAAATGTGCAAAAACAATCGACATTGCATTGTTCATCACGTGCACTTTATATCGTGATGATTAACATACCCGTTATATAGTTTCGATCAGCAGCGGTAATAATGGTCAATTTCATCACGCTGATAAAAATTGCAAAAAACGACAGGATCAGGTGAAAGAGAAATGCACAATCATGTGAGACCTGATGCGATTGCATGTGGCCGCACATAAAATAAGATGTATTTATTTAATCGAATTATATTCGTATGTATAAGTTAAGCTCTCACGCCTTGTTCACGTTTAGTTGTTGCCAACTAAACAATATCACGTTCCTGAGACATGCTACCAAGACAGCTACCTATCGCAAGCATTGATTGATAAACAACACAATATATAAGAATACTTTATTTGCATATTATTGTGCAATAATAAGAACGTTTGACAAAAATAAAAAGATTTTTTGCAATTTTTCCTTTTAATTTCTTCCATTTTCAATAAAAAAATTTATCAATAGGAAATTTTACCTAATTTTTAAAAATCTTGTTTTATAATCTTATTTTTTCAATATATTTTTTGTTGTAAATAATAATAAAAATATGTTAAATTTTAATTAAAATCTGATTCTAGTATATTTATTGCTTTATCTAGTTCTTATTTAATATTTTTAGTACGTAAAGATTTCACTACAATTATAAAACAATTCTAAAATTTTTTATAATTGTGTCTGTAAAAACGTTTTTGTAACACGTATACTTTAATTCTATAATATATAATGATTATATATCTTTCCATTTGTCCTACACATTCCGTACGATGAACGAAATTCGTTCATCTTCGAATTAGCGCCTTCGAATCGCTATAAAATTTAATCAATATATTCTTTGGCGATGTTACATCAAATTGATCTTCTTTGTTGCATAATGTGATGTAATAAATATGTATAAAAAATATTTTTTATCTTTTCGAACAATATCTTCGATATACTAAACAAATACTAAACAAATACAAGTGTGAATTTAGAAAAAAATTATCGACAGCTGCAATGGATAATTTTAAAATATGATATGGGAAAAAGTTCATGACGTTTTTTTTAATGCCATCTAACGGGAAAAACGCCACGAACTTTTTCCCATATCTAATATTATGCAATATCATTTTTTTATAATTAAGAAGTTTTTATAGTTATACGATAAAGATATCACTCATCTGTACACGTGTCATAGCATTATCAAAATGAACTTTTCTGTAATAGGATTTAATAATAAAAACTTTAATTCTCTTCTCAAACATAACATATCGCAGAGAGAATGGAAAAGAACTCGAGAGGATTCGATACTTCTATTAAGTTAAGTGAACGTGAGTTCTTAGTGGAGATGACAATCTCATTCGACAATCGCATCATAAGAACAATCGCGATATCTAGACAGAATATTTTAAATGGAGCATACTATCGCGATATGTCATTCGTAAACTTGTAAAAGAACGGGATATTTCGGATTCGAGTTAACAAAAATGTCTACTTAAAAGAAGCTCTATTACTGCTACGACTTCATTTTACAATAAAATCTGGAAAGGTGAATATGCCATTCTGTAATTAAGATACTGATTTGATTCTTTGAAGTTAATATATCTGCTACTGACAATTATTTTGCAAGAAAAAAATCGGAATTAAAAATAGAGCAGAATGAAATAATGATAAGCATAAACATCATCAATTTATTGCATTTTTTTCTAAAAAGTGATAATAAAAGTTCAAAAAAAATTGATGAGATATTAAAATATAAAAATTAATATTATTTTTCAATAAAAATGTTTTTTAATTTATTTTTCGTTACATATAGAACGTCTATTTATAGAAGTGTTTTATACTTACAACCAAGGCTGTATATATTCTATAATTAAGTATGATTGGAAAAATTATCGATTGCCAGACATGACATTGTCTTTAATATAACTTCACTGATTAAAATTCATTATATTCCAAGGCGCAATAAAATTAATTAGATATATTATTTCTGAAGATTCATTTCACAAGTTGTTAAACAAATTACAATTGATGAATTATATACTTAAAAAACAGCCAATATCATTACTTTCACACTTACTATTTTTACAGAAATAACGTTAAAACATATGCAATATTCTTTTCGGATGATGCTTTTCATTCATTCCAGGATTTAAGAATATTGAAACAAAAGCTGGAGATTATGTGGGATTTAGTGACGCAATACAATCGAAAAATCAAAGCGATTTTAATGGATAATTTAGCAAAAAAATTTCCTACACATAAGTTACTGAATTTTTTAATTTGATGAAATTGAATATATTGAATATATTAATGTTTGTGTACATATCATAATAATAAATCATAATTACATAATAAATAACTATTTCATGAATTACTATTCATATAATATCTTTTTATACAAAATTTTGGAATGTTATAGATTTATTATTAGATTTATTGGTGAAGAAACAGTATCACGTTTCAATTGTCTACCAGAACTTACGAATGCAATTACATGGATTATTGATGGAACAACGAACTTTGTACATTCTTTTCCATAAATTTGCATATCGATTGCATTGGCTGTGAATAAGGAATTCGAGATTGGAATAATTTACAATCCCGTTTTAAAACATTTATTTATAATTAGAAAAGGAGCATATTTCAATAAAAAATTAAGAGCTCGAGCTCGATAGAAGGTAAAATATTATTTTTTATCTTTCATTAATCATTTTCCATTCTTTTTTTCTTTCGTTTTGGAATTCTTTACAGCAAAAACAAAATGTCCGCATTCTCTATCAAATAAGCATGTATATGCCTGTATATGTATCAGTAAGTATATTTTCTTAACTTTAATTTTCATGTCTAATTATATTAATACAGTTTTTTATTTTTATTTTATTTTTTTATTATAATTCTTAATTTTCACAAAATAAATCAATACGTATGACAAACAAATCATAACGATAATAATAATATTTTACTTTTCCCAGGAACGAAATAATAATATTTTATTTTTTCTCGAATATCTTCACTATGTTTGAAAACTTTATATGCGACTATTGAGAATATTCACGATATTATTTTAAGAAGATTGGAAGCTTTCATCTCGATAGCATATGGAATAAGAATTATGGGTTCAGCAGCGTTGACTCTGTGTCACGTTGCTATGGAAGCTGTGGAAGAATATCATTCTGGCAATTTAATACCTGCCGCTGCAGGTGTATTTATAATCAAAGAGGCTGACGGTGTAGTGATCGATACAAAGTATAACATTAAATATATCTTCGATTATTTCTCTCATAGTGATCAAAGTATAATGATATGATTATTTCAGAATTAAAAAAACATTTTATTTAAATCTTATTTAAATATTTTATTTAAATCTTTATTTAATTTCTTCATTTTATTAGGTGGAAAATTCAATGTTATGTCAATGTTATATCAAAGCTGCTAGCTGTCAATAACTGAAAGCTGGCAAAAGAACTAAAGTTAATAAAATATAAAACATGCACTGAAAAAAAATATAGTCAATTTTAATTAATATTTAGTTGAATACTGTCAACTAAATATTTATTAAATATAAAGATATTTATTATATATATCGATACAAGAAATGTTAATTTGATTTAACAATCTTTTTTTTTATTGAACAAACATTTACTTACTACTTACTAAGTAAATGTTTAGTTGGCAGTATTGAACTAAATATTAAAATTAACTATATTTTTTTCTCAGTGTGCGGCTCTTAAAATTCATCAGAGAATGCTGTTATTACAGAGTGCAAAATAACATTCTTATACGAATCGAAAACAAAAATTTGAAGTAACGATAATTTTTAGAGAAGATACACATTCCTCTCCAATGTTATTTAAAATAATTAAAAAAGCTAGCATCACGTCCATATTAAAATATGTCTCGAGTAAGCATTGTTTATAATTTTAAAATAGCTAATTTTATTATTTACGAATAGCTAATTACGATGATAGAACAAACGCGTTCAATCATTTCATTATTTATTATTTGTTTAAAACAAAGTGTACAACACATTCAATCACGAGATATTGAAAATCTATGGCGCGATAAGTACAATGTACAACAAATCACTGAACAAGATCATGCATGGAATTAATAACGCTAATTGTAAGAGAACACGCTAGGTTCATAGGAGCATACTTTGCAGTTTGAGAGTAACAGCGGGCCTGACCAAGTCTACTGCCGAGCGTTGAAAATGTATTATAAAATATCACGCACCTATAGTTACTGAATAGTAAGTAACATTATCTACGCTTTGTTATTTCCTAATATCTCAAATATATAAATTGAAAACAATATTTTACACATACCGTATATAATTATCTGGCATAAATAGTAAATATATTATAATTCATGTATAATTAAAGTAGAAATTTTAATGAGACGTAGTAATATTAAAAATTAGTCGTATTTAAGAAAGAATTATTTTATTCATATAAAAGATTTTTTAACGTTTCATTCGTAAGCAACTCATAAATTTCAAATACTTGTTTCAACGAGCACTCGGCTCTACTTTGTGCTCGTAATATAACTAATGAAATTCCACAAACCGAATTTCTTTTCCTCACCCATCTTACTATTGTTATTTATGCTTATTTTTATTGTTATTTATGATTATCATGACACACATGTATAAAGACGGCTTCAATAGGCTTCAACATATTCGCTAAATATTGACTTGCATTCATATAGATAATTCATGTACTAAATCATGTTATAAAAAAATACGTGGATAATGTTCGTATAGCATATTCATATATAAAGTCAACATTGACTTAGCATTGATAGCTAATGCATTCGTTAATATTTGTTAATATTGTTATTGTATTGCAATGTTTACGCGCTTAAGATACAAAGGCGACTTATTGATATCTTTGCATGGTATGTCTTAAAAATTTAATGGTTATTCCACATAAATCGCAAATACAAAACGGAGTTCGCAACGTTTGTCGTGACAATCAATTAGAAGTAATCAATAGTACCACTGACGCTTTGAATTTGTTATCGCTACAACTATTGCAAACTACAATAAGTATTAAATTTGCTACTTAGAATAATCTTAACTTTTTGTACAATATTAATTCAGTAAATATAGACTCTATTCAATAAATATAAATTATAATTGTATAATAAATAATGTTACTTATTATGCGAAGAACATAAATATTAATATATTAATATATGCATAATCGCATAAAATATTATGTCATATCATAAAACATCAATATGGCGTTTTTCACTCATATATGCAAGGAAAATAATAAACGTGAAATTATCTCTTTTCATTATAGAGCAAACTTCAAGTTCCTAAAAAACTTTTTAATGCTTTTTATAAATTATGATGAGCTATCAACACACAAAATATACGCGCACGAATTGTTTTAAATGTTAACATTTAATTATCTGCGTTATTTGCACTGTCAAATATCATTAATTATAGAGATAAGGATATCTATAAGACACAAGTTCTCATTTATAGCGGTTAGTATGAGGATTTAATTAGCCGTACCAGCACATTTCTCGACATTGGCAATTATGTCGTGCGATCTGGACATCGCGAAGTGTTTCGATTTCGCGAGAGAACTCGTATTACAAACTGACAAGGTGAGTCACAACTCATGCATAAGCGAAAGGATTGCACAATTCTGGGAGATAAAATTGAATGATAAATTGTACTATGTATATTATACGTATCTAGATAAATAAGTGAGAGGGTTTTGTAAAGATATAATTTGAAAAAATAATTCTTATAAGACACACTTATAAAACAGCTAAACATTTTGAATTAATTTCAAACAATGCACTTATAAAAAAGCTTTTTTCCTTTGTATCACAGCTGTTCGATCTATCACTCACTTTATCTCAGCTTGGCTAAAATCCCATTTTGCGTTTTGGGTTTTTGGTGCACGTGTGCATAATATGTTGTAGATTGTGTGTATATGTGGATTATAGTATGTTGTATTATGCGTGAGTTCTCGTGTGTTCATGTAATATCTTTTCTCTTGCTCTATTCACTTCTTACTACTTTTAAATTCTATCTACTGTGACGCTTTATAGCAACAATTTTGCTAGTGCCTCACCACTTATGTGCAATGTGTTATCTATATCTCGCTTATATTTTTTCTCGTCAAACTTTGCAACTTTACGTTGTGCATTGCAATAAAGATTAAAGATAAAAAAAATTCGATTTATGAGATTTTTACAACAGAATAAATATTTAATATTTCACATGAATCTCCCGAAAATGATTAAAAAATGTCAATACGAGTTTCACTCGCGCTCAATTTTTAGTCAAATATTTACATTAACTATTATTTTCTTAAATATTTTCCAATTTTCTTTCTTTTTCGTATAATTATTGAGAAGCAGATTTTCAAAATGCGTTTTGTTCAAAATTTGTAATTTTTAATAAACGAGAAAGAAGGAAACTATGCACACAAGAAAACTACGCATTTTATAAAAAAGAACAATCAGTATATGTCAATCAGTAGGATATAAAATATTAAACAAAATTGCTTAACAATTGCTAAAAATGTTGAACAGATGCATTTTGTTTATTTCTAATTAAAAAACACAATGCATTTCGAAATGTCTTATGTTTTTTCAGCATATAAATTAACGATGAAAAAATATTTTTTGAACATTTCAAAGTAGCTTATCATATAAGTCATTCAACACTGAACACTACGCTACTACCATCTCTAATTAAAAAAATGAAATTTTGGACAAAACGTATTTTAAAAGTCTACTCCTCAATTGACATAATCATATATTTTGCATTACTTATCTGCATAGATACTTAAATATAACGAGGACGGAAAAATTATATATAACAAAACTGAAGGGGACTTTGTAACCAATTATGATCAGCAAATTGAAAAACTATTTATTGATAACTTATCCAAAGAATTTCCCGATCACAGGTGAGTTACAACTGTAATCGCATAAAAACAAACAAAATCATTAGATAATTAAACTTAAATTTAGTTTAATAATTAATCTTATAATATTTATCGTAAGATCGTATTATGTTCTATTAATACGTAAGGAATTAAATGTTTCGCTAAAATATTTCCTATTTCAGAATTATCGCGGAAGAAACGGTATTTGCAATGCAAAAAATGCCAGAATTGACAGACGCACCAACATGGTTTCTCGATCCAATAGACGGAACCGTCAATTTTATGCATTCATTGCCTTATTTCAGCATAAGCATAGCTTTGATGGTCTGTAAAGAGCTTGTTTTAGGCATTATCTACAATCCATCGAACTCAGAATTATACACTGCAATGAAAGGCAAAGGCGCTTTTTTGAATGGAAAGCCGATTCACGTCTCTAACATCACTGGTAAGATGTAGAAGCGACACTATCAATCATATTTTTTAAAATATCATATTTTTTTAAATATTAATTTTCGCCGAGTTTTCACAACAATTGTCAAGATTTTCAGAATGCTATATTTTTCATTTTGCAATTATTCTATATATAATTTACACAATCTTTGCAATCCATCATAATCGATTTCCATTATGTATCTTCCCATCTTGCAAACTCAATACTAAAATATGTTCAATTCAATAACAATTTATTTTTAACAGCAAGCTCTGGATTATCTATATTAATCATACAGTTGATTCATTCAGGGGGAAGAACCGTAATAATTTCGCAACGGATAGGAAAAGCCAGAGTCTGAGTGTATCTGTAAGAAGTGCATTCTCATTGCTTCAAATATTTTGCAGATCTAAAACAAGCAATGCTAGGGATCGATGCGTCAATTATAAAATATGTGAAAAAGGACAAAGACATATATATAGCCAGGCTAATCGCTTTAATCGAGGCGGTGCAGGCGTAAGTAAAACGTAATTATATATTCAAGATCAACAAAAAATCGATGCACAATTAACTTGAACTGAAAATTTTATAAATTCACAGAGAAATGATTAAGTGAAATGAAAAACCGCGCCTTGTCCGAATAGTCTTTTTCACTTATGTAATATATATTTACCTAGCCGTAATGTATATCTAGTCTGTATTATATACCTATTATTTTGAAAAGATTTTCATGCGTTTTCTATCAATTCAGTAACAGAAACATTGGATCAGCTGCACTGAGCATGGCATACGTAGCGCAAGGTATGATAGATATCTTACACATGGATGTTCTTCTTAAACCTTGGGATGTAGCAGCAGGAACGCTGCTTATACACGAAGCGGGTGGAATTGTTATTGACTCGAAAGGTATGATAACGTAAACAATAAATTAATAAACACCCAACAAATATCATATGGCTAAATTTTACAAATTTTCTGTCGCGATATGAATCTATATAATACGAATATAGTAAAAAAAAATTTCTCTAAAAAATTTACCTAAAATATCTAATATTTAATTTATTATTTAGAAGAAGATAAATATTAACCAAACTCAAGCTCAAAAAATTGACTTGTAAAGCAATTATAGATAAATTATAGATATATTCATACATATTCATATATATTGAAATTATATACTTTCATTATGATAAATAAAAAGACAATTATTTTGTACAATCACAGAACACAGTCGGAAATTTTAGATTTAATTATCAGAATTACGCAGGATTAAAATCAGATGATTTCTTACTAGAATAATACAAGACTTTAAATAGAAGTAGTAAACGTAAAAGTTGATGATAATCGATTACTGCAAAATATTTATTATATTAATAATTATTATAATCATCTTCACAGGTGGCACTTATGATATTATGAAGCCAAATACTATCGCAACAGCAAACAAAAATCTAGCACAAGAGATATCTAAAATAATCATCAATACAGATTTAAAAACGCAAAGAAAAAGACTCAAAAGAACCTGACGCAAAAAAGGCAAAAAAATAACTCACGTTAATTCATTCAAGAGCTGAGTGTATAAAACAAGAGAAGGTGTGTTCCAATAGCGAATGTATCATATAATACAAGGAAATTGTCTATAAAAATCAGTTCTAAAGAAGTTTGTTAAAAAGTTCTATTGACGCACTTACAGATGTCATACCTACGAGATCAATTCGAATATGTTAACCAATGTACAATGTTGTAAAATGAGAATTAGCATAATTAGTTTTTTTTGGATCAATTTACTCGTTGTTATATATACGAATAAAATTAAAATTAAAGCACTATCAAATTCATTATAAAATTTTATCATTCATCATATATTATGCAGTGCAAAGATATTGATAATAATATGCATTTTACACAAAATAATAAAATTTATTCCTCGAAATTGTATTTTATATTAAAACAATTATTTATTCTGTAACATTATCGATATTATTTTTTGTGTTAAAATTTTAGATTACACTATTTAAATTAAATTTTGGCACAATTTATGAAACACGATAATGCTAATATCGTACTTACTGATAGATATATATAATGATAGATATATAAAATGTAATATTAGAAAAAAAGATTGCTTTAATTTGTTCTGTGCGTAATTATAAAATATTATTAAGAAGAGTGTGAGTGTATGAACAGAATTATTTATTCAGAAACTAGAAGGAGATAACTCGTAGACAACCATAATAATAAATGATCATGTATGTTATCCAAGACTTATTTTTTAGTGAAAAAAATTATAATACACGCATTCACTCTTCTTTATTCTCGCTAGTGAAATTTGCGATAGATATTAATTAATTTAATTACCATGCAATTCATCACCAAATCAACATTTAAATTATTTTTTCATTAAGTAAAACTTTTTAAAAATAGTTTTTGATCATTTATTCTCTACACATTTGGTAAGCTTTCTGATTATTGAATCTATATTAATTATACTAATTTATATTAATTATCGATTTTTTAAATAATCGGTTGATTATCATAACATATTAATCATTTCATTATGAAAACATTACAATATCGAATTAAAAGTTAAAAGTTTGATAGGTTTCTGTGTCGTCTTATAAGATGCTGAAGAAAATAAGATAATAAAATTAATTATCGATGTCCTGAAAAAATCTTTTTCGATAATTTTTTTATTTATTATATGCGATAAATATTTATGGCTGCTGTCCGCGTGTTATAAACTGCCTTCAATTTCTTTCATTGCAATGGATGATTTTAATGTACATGATATTTTCGATATATAATGTATGTAATTTAAATGATCCTTTAAACACATCATTGAATTCTCGCGATGTGCGCCTTTTTAAGCCATTACAATATATAAATAAATAAATAAGCATTATTATGTCATGTATGTCAATAAAAAAAATATAAAAAAGTGTTGATTCCAGTAAACATCAATGTTGGATTTCGATTTAGTTGTTGATAAAAGATAAATACATTTCAATATTTTAATTAAAATGAAAAATATTTGCAAAAGCGTATTGAAGCAAATAGAAACATAGATGTAGGCAGATCGAGTCAATCATTAGGAAACATTAAATATTTGCACAACAAATGTGTAAGCTGCAAGCAAAACATCTTATAGACAATAAACGGAAATGATAGAAAAATATTGTAAAATAATAATAAAATTCTAGAGATAATTCTCAATAATGTTAACTTCAACGGAAAATATTTATGTAATCAATAACGTTGCACATTAATAAGTGAAGCAAAAAAATTAGCATAATTATACGTCTCTCAAGAGATTCTTCTTCCAAGCAATATTTCAGATTTTTTTAGAAATACATATTTTTTACTAGAGTAATTCTTATTTCTCTAATATACTCTAATAAATTCAGAATAATCACAAACATTAATGAAATAAACATTACAAATAAGGTAAAACAGATATATATTACAGAGCAAATATAAATTTAAGCTTATATATATATAAGCTTAAATTATAGCATATGCAAAAAGCAGTAAGATGTAAGCAGTAAGTAAATTAGTCGAATAATAGAGAGAGCCAGTAAGAGAGGGCGAATTTAATGCTATGATTTCCTTATGGTTTACGTCTTACTACTTTATATTTTTGTATGTGCCATGGGCTTTATGTCTTGTGAATTATTACAAATATTTTATGATTGAGTCGAGTAACACAATCAAAAATAGACTGAATTTAAACTTTATATTATAATTTATGTCTGACCACTAAACCACTCGAGGACACGAAACTTGCAACACCTGCAGTTCCTATCATGGAAATTAACGCAAAATTTGCATATCTTTTTGCGACTTTATATTGCTATCTATCATCATAAGTAAACACGCACACACAATAGCTGTACTATTTAAGATATTTAAGATATCTCTCGAATCACGCGTAGGATAGTATTATTAAAAATTCGTAATTTTTTAAATCGTTTAGAAAGAAGCTTTAAACATGGGAAATAAATCAGTGAGATAGCGTTGATCATTCCATCCTCTTTATAAAACAATCGCGTCGGGAGACATCTCACATCATTGTGGTGAATGGCAGGTGCGTGCAATTAAGTACATCTCAGACGGAATATAAAATCAAGGTCTATTTTAGAATGGCATTATTGTTATCTCATAAAGTAGACAAGACGATATAATCTTGAATAGATATCTTCAACTCTCAAAATACATTATTTACATCCAGTTTTATTAGCTCATTACTATAAAAATCAACGTGACATGTTAATTAAAAGATTTAGATAACAATTATTTAGATAAAGCAATCAAAAATATCATATGCATATAACGAATAAGCAAATTAGTAATTTTCATTTATCAAATATTTTCTTCTGTTAACGAGTAAAAGCAGTTAAAAATTTATAATTTTTAAAGGACTTCTCGAGGAGTTAAAGGTCTGGAAGTATAAAACTTGATAGAATGCGCCGTTGTTCTCGGATTGTGTACCTCTTGCTGTAGGCACGACCGATTCGAGTGAAAAACAGTGAGGTGTAGACACGGACAACAGTGCTAGCTCGCGCCTTTTGCCGACGAGGTCGAAACAGACGCACGGCGTTTGCGCGTTTACCAGGTTGTACAGAAATGGCACGATACGCCGAGGACGTGTACTACGAAACTGCTATTAAACTAACGCGCGAGGCTGCCCAGGTGAGCATACATCGCAAGAACGATCTCATCTTCGATAAGAATGAATGTTTCACGTAATCATCGAACAAAGCATCAATGAACTGAATGAACTAAAAATACGTATTAACCGATATTTGAGATGATCGCTTGTCAACCGGTACGATTGGGAAAACATTACTAAACATTACTATATGCTTCCATAGTTACATATTTGAAGACGAAAGAATGTGACATTCTTATAATGTCAGATGTGAAATCTTCTTTCAGATAATTTTAAGAGCCGAGTGTGTTATGTGTTATAAAGAAAGAATGTCTATATCTAAAACATTTTACAAATTTATGTTATTTGTCATTGTCTTATTCTTTCGTCATCTCCGTAACATTATAATAAAACTTCTATAAAATTAGAAATTCCTAGAAAGATATCAGAAGCGACGTAGTACACGTCATACATAGATAAAATATCTAATTAAATAATAATTATATTTGTAAATAATAAAAGAAATCTTGACGACAGTTTTTATAAAGTTTTATTCATTCTGCCAATGGCAAAATTGATCAATTAAAATTAATTTACACCGTATAATTTTATCAAAAACAGTAAATATCAAAGGTTATTTAATTAGCAATTATTTCTCACGTCCCAAAAATTGAATTAAAGAAAATAAAGAGACCATCCTAATGACGTCGTAATTTATTAGCGATAAATTCAATAATCCTTTCAAATTTTCTAATAATAAATTTTTCGATTAGAGCGATAAACAAATCTATTCTGCGCTGTGAATAATTTTTCCGTACTGAAACAAGGAAAAATCAAATACACCGTGCAAATTGTAAAATATCATAAATCAAGCGATTTCTAGCATAAATCTTTGTACAATCATACGTATGTATAAATTGTACATTTTCAAAATGTGGAAAAAGCATTTATCTCACTAACATAATAATCGTTTTATCTCATGTTTTTTATCTTTTTTCTTATCTCAGTCTTTATGTTTTATTTGTATATACGGCGATCTTTCAATTATTTTATAATACATATTAAGTATTGCTTAAGATTCTGCGAGATTCTATCAACGGTTTCAAACATATCAAAGAGAAATTGGGCGATTGGGATCTCGTCACCGAATATGACCGACAGATAGAGGATACAATAATCGGTGGACTCAAACGAGCATTTTCGAATCACAGGTAATAGACATTTCTCAAACAACATCGTATCATTTGACAAAAAGCAAATACGAGTACGGAAAATTAATCCAACCATACGATCAGGTTTATCGCAGAGGAATCGACTGGGAAAGATCTACCAGAATTAACTGATGTTCCAACGTGGATCATAGATCCCATCGATGGAACCACCAACTTCATCCATGGATTCCCGCACACATGTGTGGTCATCGGTTTGGCTGTTAAAAAAGAAATGATCCTTGGTATCGTGTACAATCCAATTCTCGAGCAGCTATTTACGGCTAGAAAAGGACGGGGCGCGTTTTTGAACGGAAAGCCGATTCAGGTGTCTAAAATACAAGGTAACAAACCAGTCTCTGTAATTTGATTTGATAAGATATGCGATGTGGACAAAACGTCAAGAATGGTGGAGGATAACATATGATACTTTCCTGCGCAGTAACAGAATCTGCTCTAAAGTTCTACATATCTAAAGATCTCAGAATAAAAGAGATAATAGTTTTGTATTAATACTGAAAGTAGGACAATCAACGTCCTGCTGTTAGAAAATATAGATGTATCGTATCTCAGGTTATTCGCCTCTTTACCTTCAAGTTAAAGAATGACATATATTATAGATCGACTCTTGCTAACAGCTTGCATTGCAACACGCTAATTGTAAATGCGTGGCGGTAATGATCTAGAGAAATCATAACTACATTTTAAAGATACATCAAGGATAAAATTAGAAAGCGTCATTGTGTATGAACATTACTTATTTCGCAAATGTTAACTTTATATATATCGAAATTTCGCAGAATTGTCGAAAGCTTTGGTCTGCATGGAATCAGGCTTCATAAAGGTAGATAATCTACGGGAGAAGACGATGGAGAGGATCCAAACTATCGTCAAAGCGGCTCAGGGGTAAGTCTTAGAAGCAAGTTTGTAACAACGAGATTTTAACTTGTACTATCTTCTTTAT